AGATCTGGGTGTCATCAGCGTACTGATAACACCCAGCTCCATAACTCGTATGATCTCACCCAGTGGATTCATATAGATGTTAAACAACATCGGGGACAGAATGGTACCCTGTGGGACACCACGGGTGAGCTCTCTTTTAGCTGAGCTACTGTCCCCGAGCAGCACCCTCTGAGATTTACCCGAGAGGAAGGGCCGGAAGCACTGGAACGCAGTGCCTCCGATACCCAACCCCCTCAGATGGTCCAAGAGGATGCCATGATCTATCATGTCAAAAGCCTCTGAGAGGTCTAGGAGCACCAACAGGGTCACACTACCCCGTCAATGCTCAGACGCAGATCGTCATACCCAGTTTGAAATGGGTCTAGATCAGGGGTAGGCAACCTTTCCCCTTTAAGGGCCGAGGGACTTCAGCTCCCAGAATCCCAGGAGCTATTGGCCAACATGGGACTATTGGCCAACATGGCTGAGGCTTCTGGGAGTTGATGTCCCTCGGCCCTTAAAGGGGAAAGGTTGCCTACCCCTGGTCTAGATAATCGGTTTCATCCAAGACAGCTTGAAGGCACACATGCACCCTCTCTGGTCAAGAAACTTGAATTTTGAGCAGAAAACACACCTCTGTTTTCTATGGTCTGTCCGATGCTGCCCCCTGCTGGTCTTTGCTCTCATCCAGCTGTTTTTAATTTGGTTCCCCAGCAGAGAAGGACCAAGAACAGGAGGAGGAATCATCCTGCATGCCTTTGTATTCTCACTCACCATGGCAACGTCTCAGCCAATGAGCTTGTGAGAAAGCCAGAAGATGTAACAGACCATGGTTGTCATTTTTTGCAAGCACATCGGTCTAGAAAGGACACATCTTGGACCTCAATGGAAACACACACACACAAAATCACCTTATTGCAAATTGAGTTTCCCTTATCCCAAATTCCGAAAACTGAAATAGTCCAAAATCTGAAAATGTTCTACTGAGATAGTGACACCTTTGCTTTCTGATGGTTCAATGTATGCAAACTTCATCTCCTGCACAAAATTGTTAAAATTATTATGTATAATAATAATAATAATAATAATAATAAAATTTATTTATACCCCGCTTAAATGAAGACAATCTAAGCGGCTTACATCAGTTTAAAACCCCATACAACAAATACCCCAACCCACCCCCTTAAAACAGTATTAAATAACAAGATAATTAAAACAGGAATATAAACATTCCAACACAAATAAAACAAACATAAAAATAAAAATGCCCTGATTAGACTCAAGTGCGTATAAAAATTACCTTCAGGCTATGTGTATAAAGTGTATGTCGTTGTTGGTCCAAAGTCATTTTTTAAACTTATGGTGACCCTAAGGTAAATCCATCATGGGGTTTTCTTGGCAGGATTTGCTCAGAGGAGGTTTGCCATGGTCTTCCTCCGAAGCTGAGAGTGTGTGACTTGCCCAAAGTTGTCCAATGGGTTTCAGACCAAGCTGGGAATTGAATCCTGGATTCCAGAATCATAGTCCAACACTCAAACCACTATGCCACACTGGCTCATACAAAACATAAATGATTTTCATGTTTAGACTTGGGTCCTATCTCCATGATATCTCACTATATTTCTGTATGTCATTGCCATAAAGTCATTTCCAATTTATGGTGACCAATCATGGGAGTATCTTGGCATGACTCTATCATGGGGTTATCTTGACAAGGGCCTTCTTCTGAGGCTGAGAGAGTGTGACTGGCCCAAGGTCACCCAGTGGGTTTCCATGGTTGAGCAGGCATTCAAACCCTGATCTTCAGAGTCATAGTCCAATACCCAAACCACTGCACCACACTGCCTAATCTTTGTATATGCACATATTCCAAAATCTGGGAGGAAATTCAAAATCCAAAACACTTCTGGTCCCAAGTTGAATATGGGAGACTCAACCTGTACAATCTTGTCTGATTGTAAGAACTAACCAGGTTTGAGCCTGGTTAATATTTGGCAAAGAGACCACCGGTCATACTAGAAATCTCCAAGTGGGGCTAGAATCCTGCCTAAAACCATGGACAGCCATAGCTTTTTATCACAGTTGACAATACTGGTCTGGATGGAACAATGGTCTAAGTCAAGGGTTTCTAACCTTTTTGACTCATGGAGCCCTTATTTCTATGGCAAAGCCCCTAAGAGGCCTACCCTATATGGTGTTTAGGAGTATATATAAGAATATATTATTATTCTTTAATTTCTTTCCATTTTTATTTCTCCCTTTTCCTGGAGCAGCCATGGAGCACCTGGGAAGTGCATGCGGAGCCCTAAGGGCTCCTTGGAGCACAGGTTGGGAACCCTGGTCTAAGTTATTATAAGGCAGCTTCCTTGGTGTTTTTAGAGTTGAAGGCAGAAATCATAGCATCATGGAATCATAGAGTTGGAAGAAACCCCAAGGGCCATCCA